GTATTTGTGTGCACTCACAATATCAACAAAATCTTGTGCTTTTGTAAAGCAAGGAAAACAAACAGGATGCGCTTTCTGTCGTCTTGGTCTTGAGCAGGAGCGCTTCACAGACATGATAAATATATCTATAAAATGCTTTAAATTACTATTTTAAAACGAAATAATTCAAATCAAAAACAAAACCTCTTTCATTATGTAATCCCTAAAGATGAATTTCTCTCTAAAGGCATATCCAATGAGGAGATGGTGAGTCAGGTTGGTCAAATTCATTTTTGCAACATTGACTCTGAAAACATTGTTTTTTGAACAAATAATTAAAATATCCCCTCACTATTTTTAACTTTTTTTTTTGGTTTTTATTTATTTATTTTGTTTGTTTCTTATGATCACAGCTGTCTCCCTACGACTGTGATCATAAGGTTTCAGTAGATATCAACACATGAACAATAGGCTATATATGAGCTACTGCCTTAATAATAGACATAACATTTGAAAACGAAAATGTGTCAAACTGGGTAGACCAGTTTCAAAACATTTTCAAATAGGCCTATGTATAAACATCTATTAATCATTTATCAATATATAGGCTCTTAATATGAACATGTAGAGTAGCCTACAACAAACTACTCTTGTAATAAGCAGCTGTATGACATGAAAAAACAAAAACAAAAAACAAAACCTGAACTTTGAAATAATAGACATCTGCTGATCATACAATTATCTAGTTTTCAGAAATGAGGTCTACTGTATAGTGAATTATTTTTTTTTTAGAGACGTGTTGTATTAACTATTACCAGTAAGTTCATATGTGCTCCGATTAACATTAGCCTATATTATTATATTGTATTATTTTATTTAAACTGTAACTGAGAATATATTTGGACGCTCCATGTTAGTCACTGAATAGACTTACATGATTTTCAATTGATTTTTAGGTGATATTGCTTGAAAAGTGAATTACAATGAGTGCTCAAAGAAAAAAACCCTCAATTATTTATGCTGTTTATTTTATTATCAAAGCCTAAGTGATAACATAACCTGTATGGAAGCATATAGGTAACGAAATTCAATTTAAAATGCAATATGCAAAATGGCAATGCAATATTCATTGCAATATTCAATATTCAATATCCATTACCCATACGTGCAAAGTTTGTTGTAAAAGGAAAATGAAAATTAAATTATATAATTTACATTTGCCATTTTCAACAGTGGTCTTAATAAATTGCATGCAAATTTGAACGCTTTATAAGTTGCGAAATGAAAATGAAAATGTATAACACAAATTGATTTGATATGTGTAACATGTTCAAGCAGAAATGGTAGCAAAATTATAATTTAAATGCTATTTGTCCTAAATGCATTTAGACTAGCAGTTAGAACACTTAGGATTGCATTTTCATCATGACGCCATGGGATATTTGTAGCAAAATTAAATTTGAAAATGCATTCCGAGCTGACCACGCTTGGATTGGCGGAAGCGTGTTACCTTTGGATCGTTTGAAACATGGCGGCTGGAGATCTGATTAGATTGTTGAATTCACTGGCAGATGAAGTGGAGCGTGAACAGAGAAATATATGAAGCGTATTCCATGCTAAAATCAAACGTTCGAACGACTGACCGATCGAACGTCTAACCGTCGACCGAACGTCTATCCGAACGTCTTGACCGTCTGCTTTGACCGTCTGCGGGCGGGCGACGTGACGCCAGCGTCTTGAAATTAGCTGGTGTTTAAACAGTTAAGGGCCAAGCTGCTGTTTAAAGACTATAAATGGACATTACAAGTATTACAATAATGATAATTTATACCTAAAATAATACTCAACCATTTCCTGCATTCTGCTGTACTTCCCTGAATAAGTCTTTAAAGGTGTTGTAGGCTAATAAGTCGTTCTGAGTAATAAATTGAAAAAGCTCGCACCTGTATATGACTAAACAAAATAACATGCAGTTTACTTGAGGTTCTGCTATAAATGTGTCTATTAGAAACATTAATTTAAATTAATTATACAATTAAAATTTTTTTTAATTAAGACTTCCTGAGTTTTTGAACGGAAGTCCTGAATGACTGTTATTAAAGGTAATTTAATGAATTTGAATGATTTTCAATGCCCTGCAGAAACCCTGCCTTTGTTGGAAATGTAAATAAATTATTTTAATTATGTTTGATTATGTTATAACACTTTTCAGTAACAATATTTAATATTACAGTAAAGTGTAGTAGCTTTTTTAAGTTTCTGAAATATCCTATAATTTTAACACTCAGAGGTAACTTGAACTCTATACTTTAATAAAGGAAAGGAAAACCAATTTGGCAGAGTAAAAACAAACATTGGCCCTCCAGGAGCGGGACTAAGAACCCTGACTAGATCTTCACATTAATTGAATGTGATTTATCAACACCATCTTTAAATTTGCAACATCTATTGTAAATATATGTATAGGCCTATATTTAAATATATACATTTACTGTAATATGAAATATTGTTAATGAAAAGTGTTATAACATAAGCAAACATAATTAAAATTATTTATTTACCTTTCCAACAAAGGCAGGGTTTCTGCAGGGCGTTGAAAATCATTAAAATTCATTAAATGACCTTTAAAAACAGTCATTCAGGACTTCCGTTCAAAAACTCGGGAAGTCTTAATTAATTTCAAACAATTTTTTGTATAATTAATGAATTTAAATTAATGTTTCTAATAGACACATTTATAGCAGACCCTCAAGTAAACTACATGTTATTTTGTTTAGTCATATACAGGTGGGAGCTTTTTCAATGTATTACTCAGAACGACTTATTAGCCTACAACACCTTTAAAGACTTACTCAGGGAAGTACAGCAGGATGCAGAAAATGGTTAAGTATTATTTTAGGTATAAAATATCCATGTCCATTAACAGTTTTTACAGAGCAGCTTGGCTCCTTAAATGTTTAAACACCAGCTAATTTTAAGACGCTGACGTCACGTGGATCACCCGCAGTGTTAGACGCTCAAGACGTTCGGTTTAAAGTTCGGTCGACTGTTGAGATATATCCAGCTGCAGACCCGCAGCACCAGCAGTTTCAGAACCGCAGTCACAGAACCGCAGCCACAGAACCGGAAGTGAGTGGCGGAGTTATTGACAACGAGAGAGCACGGTGAGTAGTCTGTAATGTTTTTGCGATCATATGTTTAATAATTATCGTATATATTACGTTAAGCATTTAACTGCTAAGTACTTAATGTGTGCTTGGCTTTATTATCTTATATTGAAACTTGAATTTGTTGTCACACTTTACAGTATATAACTTTTTTATGTGGATGTTTCGATTTATTTTCGGATGCATGCTGTAAATGGGCCTTGTGGTGAAGTTTTGGAGACGTTTATTATTCATAAAATAAATCGTTTGCTTTAATTCCCTCTGTTATATGCATTGTTTGTGTGTTAATATTACTGTAGGTTTTTTTTTATTAGCTCTAAAAAGGGAAATATTTATGACTAACTATAACTGGTTATGATCAATAATAAATATTTAGATTATATCTTCGAATTAACTGTAGCAGAATCAATATTACAATTATTTGATCTGTCCGTCCACCGAGCAGACAATATAATCATTTATCGATTCAAGGAACTATTATTTTCCTGGCCTAGGTAGAATATACTGTCCTTCTTTGTGCAGTGCTAGCAGTAATTTAGCAAAATGTAGCAAGGGTTCACACATTCATTGACTTCGAATTGTGAGCAGCATACAGAGACAATCCGTTGTGAATATAAGGAATTTAATAAATGAAACTACATCTAACATATAACTAAGCAAAACACTTCTATATATTTTCCTATGAATTAACTAGAGAACAGTCCATTTCTCTGGGCATTATGTGTCTTTCTTATGAGGAAAATGAGGGAGTTTATCTGCCGGCATTCCTTTAGGCAATAAAACCAGTGATATCAGCATTGGTTACCATGGAGCCAGAGGCCTGTTCTGCCTTTCTGAGGTGTTAGGTGCATTTCGGGGGAAGGGTCCATAGACCCTCGTAATTGGCCCTTTGGTTAGGTGAGGGGGCATTAGATATCATTTGTTAAATATAACAAAAAGTTGTGTGTCTGATTGGTCCAAATGCTACAATGCAAATGTCAAAAGGCTAAAAGGGTCTCTCTTAAGCCATAAAAACCCAAAGATCATGCATGATTCTACGCAGACGCTACATTACCTTGTAGTTTAGTTATTTTAATCTCATTTGTCATCATTGAGATAATTGTGTGGCTTCATCTCTTGTAGAGACATAAGGATTCAGAGAGATGACACATTACCTGAGCTGCAGCAGTGCAACAAGTGTTACAGCAATTACCAGCAATTAGGTAATTCATTAAGCCAGCCAAACTGGTCAAGTTAAAAAGAGGTATGAATATCTTGAGTTGTTTGTTTAATGTACTCACAATTTATTATTGCATAATAGTATACCTGTGTACTTATATTTATTTATTTTAGGCTATACTATAAATTTTTGCAACCAGTTATTGGTGTGATTATTTAGTTGTTACATAAGGAACCAGGAAGTTTTTTTGTGCCATTTACAGGGAGAATATTCTTATTTTTTGTTGTTTTCCAGTACATCTTGTCTTGGGAGCACCCTTTGATTTTACATCTGGAAGCAGTTATCAGTTAAAGTAATTGACCTTTATGATGTTGTAGCAGTTGATATTTAAAGATTTCTCTATGTGTGTCTTCCAGTGTGACATTCCAATCATACGGAGATGGTGGACTCCAGATGGTTTTCTCTGAAAGGTACTGGACATTACCTCCAGCACACCATTACCTTTGCACCCCCTTCTGACCAATTTGAAATTAACCAAGATACATGTATATTACAGTGCAGAA